AATGACCTAAAAAATACTATCCTCCAGTAATAACTTTCTGATATTACAATGTGATGTTATTATTGACAACCACTGAAACATATGGCACTTGTTGAATGCCTAATATGTCTCTATTACTGTGATAAGTTCATTACAATTAAGCTATTGGTATTTTCATGTTTCTAAAAAAGGAAATTCCCTTCTTTGTTAGGAAAGGCATTGAGAGATTTAGTGGTTTGTCCAAGAGCTCTCAGATATTAGTACTAGAGGGATCCAAACTTGTATATATTTGAATTCAAAACCTGTGCTTTTTAACCATCCTGCTATATTGCCTCTCATAATATAGGTGAAAGTATCTAATCTTGTATCTGGCAGGTTTTAATATCTGTATTGAAATTGCTTCATTATGCCTGGGTCACCCATTCTCTGCTTGAATATCTCCAGGGATGGGAAACTTACTCCTTCATGAAGTAGTCCTTTTCCTTATTTGACAGCTTCTGTTGTTAAAAAAGTTTTCTCACATGGAACTGAACAGTAGGTTTGTTTTTTGCGTACTCCCATAATGTTTGGCTTTTTGGATTGACACAGAATCAGTCAACTATTTCTTCTGTATAGTTGAAAGCAAGTCATCTTTGGCTCTTTGTTTGCCAGGCTCAGTTTCAGCTATTTTGTTTTATTTTATTTTGTGTGTATATATATATGTATGTATTTATTTATTTTAAAAATTTCAATAGTTTTGCAGAACAGGTGGTGTTTGGTTACATGCATAAGTTATTTAGTGGTGATTTCTGAGATTTTGGTGCACCCATCACCCAAGCAGTATACACTATTCCCAGTATATAGTCTTCCATTCGTCACCTGACTCTTGCCCTTCCTTCCGAGTCCCCAAAGTCCATTGTATCATTGTTTCAGCTGTTTTAAAAGATCAACATTATTTTCCATATTTGTACTTTTCTTTGGATGTACTCTAGATTATCAGGATTCATCTGAGACTATTATAGCTGGAAATATATAATACCATAAGCAGGATACTAATTAGAAAAATAATTATAGGTACTCTTCATTGTGCTCTTATTATATGCATAGTGCAATGCCTTTTGTGTATCTGTACAACAGTAGATAAAGAAATGGAAACTTAGAAAGGTATTTTGTCTGCCACTTTTGTAACTAATAAGCGAGTACCAAGCCAGGATTTGAACAGAGGTCTGCTTGACTCCAAACTCTTGACTGTGCTGCACTTGGTAGGCATGGAATGTAGCATAGCTGTGTTGCCTCCTTTATTCTGCATGTTTTGGTTCTGTTAATTTAGACTAAGATTGCATTAATCATTTTGGCAGCAATATCATAGCACCGACTTATATTAAGCTGGTATTCAACCAAAGCCTACAAATCTTAATAAGATCTTAAGTATATGAGCTTCTGTTTGGTCTGGCTTTCCCATCTTAAATCTTATGTCATTAATTTTCAGTATAAATGTCGGACTTTGTGTTCATGTCTTTAACTTCCATTTTTGGGATTTCAGCATAAGTTTTTAGATTTCCAAGATAATTTTGAATTTTGAGTGTGTCATATATGATACTAACTCTTCTTCCAGATATATTACCATGTGCTTCTTTAGTAAGTATCTTTGCTTTGTGTTTATCTAGTCATTGATACAATTTCAAACAGATTAGAGTTGAATAAGGAATCCATACTTTAGATACAGCATATCTATTTTTTCCCTAAATATTTTTGAAATCTGCTTTTCTAAAGTTTAGGACATACATTTGGCCATGTTCACAGTTTTCTTTTCTTACTGTTATTAATATAAAGGTAATGTAGTCACTTTATTTCAAGGTTCTTGTTGGAATGATATTGAGGATATCGGTTGTAATTGTTGCTTCTGCTGCATTCTGAGCAATATATTTATTAGATAGGAAATAGGGAGTTTAGTTGGTATTCTACTCTTCAAATTAGACTTATATCAGAAGATATCAGGATAATTGAAACTCTCCTTCACTTTTTATAGTGTGTTTTGATACAAGTTTTATAATCTTTTCTGAGAAAGCATCATCCATATTTCTTTTCCACATGGACAGTCTATGGAATACCATTGTAATAGTATAATTCAGTTTTTCTTTTTAGTTCCTCCTTTTATTGTTTAATGTAATTCTACTATTAAGCTCATGAGTTTCATATAGGAGCTCTGGAAAGAGCACAGAAATTGGCTTTGAACATCCCTGGATTTGAGGACTGACCCGGTTATGTGAACTTGTGCAAGTCAAGCTTTGTGGACCTCAGTTACCTCGTATTTAAGATAGACGTTATAATGGTGTTCTTTATCATTTAGGATTATACAACAGGTTAAAATTTTAAAAACAAGTAACTTGACTATTAATGACTTACATAAATAGTATATTTGTCTCATATGACAAGAAATTAAGAGATAGGCAGTTTAGCATAGCTATGGTAAGTTAGTAAAGACGTTAGGGACTTCAGCTCTTTCCGTTTTTCTGTTCAACACCTTTAGTGTGTAATCCTTTACCTTCTTGCTTCTTCTTCTTCTTCTTCTTTTTTTTTTTTTTGAGATGGAGCCTCACTCTGTTGCCCAGGCTGGAGTGCAGTGGCACGATCTCGGCTCACTGCAACCTCCGTCTCCCTGGTTCAAGCAATTCTCCTGCCTCAGCCTCCTGAGTAGCTGAAACTGCAGTCATGTGCCACCACGCCCAGCTAATTTTTTATTTTTAATAGAGATGGGGTTTCACTGTGTTGCCAGGCTGGTCTTGAACTCCTGACCTCAAGTAATCCACCTGCCTCAGCCTCCCAAAGTGCTGGGATTACAGGCGTTAGCCACTGTGCCTGACCCCTACTCTTGCTTCTTGACTCAAGGCTACAAAGTGGCTACTAGAACTCTGGGCTTCATATCTATGTTTCAGACATAGAGAATAGGAGGGACTAAAGGACTAAAGGGAAAAACTGAGTTTCTCTTAGTGAGGCTCTCTCTTTTAATCTGACAAAGGAAGTCCCCCTTTAAGATGTCTGCCTGCAGCTCATTTTCCAGAACCATGTTACATGACTACCCTTTTCTGCGAGGAAAGCTGGGAAATTGTATAGTGTAGCCTTTCAGTCTCTATAATAGATGAAGGCAAGGGAGAAGGGATTGTGTTTAGGGTTTGGGTCAGCCAGTCAACAATGTCTGCCATTTACTTTGATAGGATTTTTGGAAGGATCTAATTAGATGATGTAATCCAAAAAGTTTTATAGAATATAATTTATATAAATGTAAACTGTATTATTCCTCTTGACTTCTATTGAATTGTCTTAAAATCTAGTATATTCTTAAACTAATTTATCCAATTTTTGTATTTAAGTCTCAGAAAATCTGTGAGACTAGTTATTTGTTAAATGAGTTCACTTTATTACCCGTATTCAAGAAATTGGTATATACATGTTTAGGCATAAATACTGCATTAATTCTACTCAGCTCTCCTGTTTTAATCTAAGAGTTAGTGAGGACTATTTTCACATCTGGCTTATCTTCGTGTGCCACACATCCTAACCCTCATAGTCATGGGTTTGTATTTATACCTGGGCTTTTCTTTTAGAAATCTGAAAGAAAAGACTACTTCACCAGAACAGTGTTCCACCCTTTTTGCCATATGCCCTGTTTTCTCTTAAGTGTTACTGAATATAGCTTTCCTTTTAGTACCATTAATGTGGGCATTAGTTTTGTTCTTTCCAAAATCATTGGTGTCAAAAGTGGCCAAGCAGTTAATTTTTAGCTCCATTAAAATTCTTCAGTTTTGTTATGCAAAACTTGCAAATTTTTGGAGTTGCCACCTAGATTACTGCTGATGGTATCATTTATACCTGTGATAGTCAGTTGAATTATATTTTAATTTGTAAAAAATTAATAAATAACTTTAGGGCATGAGAGCTTCCTGCTAATTGGGAAGCATTCTTTTTTTTTTTTTTTTTTGACAGAGTCTCCCTGTATTGCCCAGGGTAGAGTGGAGTGCAGTGGTGCAATCTCGGCTCACTGCAACCTCCGCCTCCTGGGTTAAGCGCTTCTCCTGCCTCAACCTCCCAGGTAGCTGGGACTACAGGTGCATGCCACCATGCCTGGCTAGTTTTTTGTATTTTTAGTAGAGACAGGGTTTCACCATATTGGTCAGGCTGGTCTTGAACTCCTGACCTCGTGGTCTGCCCGCCTTGGCCTCCCAAAGTGCTGGGATTACAGGCGTGAGCCACCGCACCCGGCCAAAGCATTCTGTGTGATTTTTTCTTTTTGAGGAAGCTGTTTTCTGGAGACTACATCTGCTTTGAATGAAAATCATACTGAAGTATAAAAAGCAGTATGGGAAAATAATTGGGGAAAAGGCAGATCTGCCATGACTCCAGACCTCCTGTGCTCTCTTCAGTGACTCAAAAAATATTTCTGGATTGAAAAAATGATTACTGAGTCAGAATTAAACTATTTTACTCGAGGTACATGAAAAATAGCAGAAAAAACCCTGACCAGGTGAGCCATAGATCGGCAGCTCTAACTTGAGCTGAGTAGGCTGGCTGGCAGGTGAATTTAAAGATAGACCAAGTATCCTAAATACACATGCTGGAGCTATCACCTGGTCTTTAGCATGAGGTAGAGAGAATGACCTTCATAGTTACTAGTATTCAAAATTGATTATAATACTTTTTCACATGGAAAATGGTAAGATATCTTAAGAAAAGGCCCCAGGAGGTAAATAAGTCCTGAAGGTGAGTTGGGAAGGAGAATTGAGGAGTGAGAATCTTAAATGATGTCAGAGAGAGCTAAGGAACAGATAGATCTCCCAAGAATTTGGAAATGACCAGAGGAACTTTCAGGATATGTCATGGAGTTGGAGAGCCTTCTGATTGATTACTTATGCATCTTTTTAGGCTAATAAAAATGTTGGTAGCTTATTAATTCTGTCATTTTGGGTGAAACAAGACTTTGATGGTGTATTATTTTTTGTTTTGTTTTAGTTTTTGCTGCCTGCCTTCTTTCTTTCTTTTTGTAGACATTGTTCGAAGTGATGTTGCCTTAGATAAACAGAAAGGCTGCAAGATTGCCCAGCACCCTGATGTTATGCTGGAGCTCCAAAGGGAGAAGGCAGCTCAGATGCATCTGGTTCTTCTAAAGGAGCAATTCTCCAATACTTACAGTAATCTCATATTAACAGGTAAGGCAATTGGAGTTGGTTGAAATCTTAGAGCATTCAGTTAGTAACTTATTATTTGGGGTACACATCTGTCTGTCTACACCTACTATATCACTGTTTAAATTGTAATGACTTGTCTCTCTATTACAAATATTCCTTGTAGTTTGCAAATATGTTTTGGTTTGAAGTTATGGGTGATTCCGCATGTGTTTTCTTCTCAAAACACAGAACCAATGAAAACCTAATGAAACCTTTAAAAATGTGACTTTCTAGATGTGTGCTAGTAGATTTGAGAGAATACTAAATTTGGTGTCTTTTAAGAAGCAGCTATTTTCCGCTTTCCGTGTATGCCCTTTCTGTGAACCCAGTGAATATAAAGATGAAATGTAAAAGAGATAATGGTCTTCAGGCAGAGCAGAGAATGTTCTATTCTTGGTGGAGTTTGGAAATATCTAGGGAATTTGATTTTCTTTTTAAGAGCAAAGAGGCTATGAGACTGAGTCATGCTCCCTTACATCCTTGGTTCTAGGAGGAAAGCGAATATGTGTCAGGGCTGCAAGGAGAATCAACTTTCTTCAGGGCTGCTTGCAAACTTGCTGGTAATGAGCAAACGAGCTGCGTGCTTTTGTCAGGCTTTGGAAAAGATTGTAATAGCAGAATATTATGTGAGAATCATTAAGGATTTGAGATGAACTCAGAAGAGCAGTCCAAGTTACCTCCATTTTCTTGAGACCACATAAGGCAGATCTACATTATATTGATCCAAATAAAAAAATCAAAAGTATGTGTTTTCCCTTGTTTATGAACATTAAAAAATAAAAAGATGGATTGTCTGACATGCTATGAACATCTCACACTTATTTTTGTAAGCTCTAAGTTAGGAAAACTTTAACTTTTTTTTTTTACAGACTTCTTGGCATGTCACCAGGAATTGCTGAGTGGCAACCAAATTGTTTTGCTTTTAGAAAAGTAAGAGACTCTTCCAGCTTTTCATCTTGTACCTGGTGAAAAACCCAACAGCATGAGATGAAAGCCAGACTTAAACGTGGCTTTGGTGAGCAGAGAAGGGGATTATGGATTTCATAAGTATAGGCCCTGTTTTATGCTCCTTGGTAGGTCATTAAGAAGGGAAAACTTAAAAGTGATTTATGGCCAATGTGTGTATTTCCCTAAATTGGTTAGTGAAACTGGGTTTGAGTTTAGATGTTTGGGAAGAGCATAGATGTTTCTTCAGGTTTTTTCAGTCAACCTCATATGTATGTGTGCATGTGTGTTTATAAATGTGTGTGTGTGTGTGTGTGTGTGTAATATTTTCCAACTCAATGAGTGGAAATGAAATATTTTTATTCCATCTTTATTCTAATATATTTAGGCACTTGTTAGAGGGGTCAGACCTTGTGTTCTTTAATGTGGCATAGAAAGGGCTTAGGGTAATTCTAACCCCTACACCGAGGCTCCAGAGTATGGCTTGGAGGCATATTATCTTTGAAAACGCAAGTGTTCTATTGAGTTTAGTGGAATCTCTTCTAATTCTCAGTAACATAATCCCTTTGGATGTTTATTCGCAGTTCAAACTGTTGGAATCAACATTGTCAACTTTTACCCTGACAACTTGCTTACTTTCTACTAAACAAACTTACCCTAGAGAAGAGCCTCTTTCCTGCTCTCACTTCTACTAAGCTGCTTCAAAGAGTCCTCAGGCATTTTCCACATTTTTCACCCAAATGCCTGTGCAGAGGTGGTACCTTACTGCAGACAGAGCATTTTGCATGTCCTGGTTTGTTTACATGAAAGTTCAAAAGGTTTTGGTTCCAGGTGTTGGGAAGAGATGGAGCCGTTTCAGTTTAACACCAATGGTAAAACTATTTTAATTTCCTTTAACTAAGTCTTTGATTTTACACAGTGTGGTTTTCTAATTGTTATGAAGTTTAATCCTTGATTTCTTGTATAAATCTTGAGAACATGGTCTCCAGACAGCTAAACATAATATTTAAACATAACTAAACTAACTTTTGTAAATATTTCCCTTTTCAGTGATGAATGTATATTGGTAAGAAGGGTGAGGTTGAAGGGGCAGGGACCTCTCAAATGAAGTGACTTTCTTTACCAACACATTCAGAACACATACTCCAGGATTTCTTTCTGTATAAGTCTGGCATAACACTTGAAATATCTGCAATGAAAGTATTTATGTGGGAACACAATGAGGAAACTGGGCCTCTACAATCTCAGAAAGGATCACTTTTTACATCTTTCTCCTCTACCCACCAGTTATTTATAGAATTTCATATGTATGGGTATATAGTAATTGTTTTCTGGTCAGTTACTGGTATATCCTTTATTTTAAAAATGGGACAACTAAAATATTGGTATAGTAACAAAAATTAAGTGATCGAGTGTTGATGGTTAAAAGCATGTTAAAAATGATAGTTGTTGAGTTCCACCTCACAAGCAAGTCCTCATTCTTTGATGTTCCACTGTTACCTGATGAGCCTGTCAGCTGTTGGTGGGAGAGGCATGGCTTCATATTCTACATTACAGCTAATGATCACTCTTAAATAGCCACTCCTTTACTCCAGATAAGGGCAAATTGTATTCTAGCTTTGAAGGTCTTTTAACCATTTAATAAAAGAAAACAACTCTATAATTGTTAGGGATAGCCCAGTTAATGGAAATAATAAAAACTAATAAAATTTAATGTATATACCTTGTTGAAGTATTCCTTATTGCATTATATTTGTAGAACAGTAGATTCTTTTAATATATTTTTTGCATAGTTTTAAACTTGTCTTAATGTTTTCATGTCAATGGTTTACATGATACTGGAAATAATGTTAGCCTTGCCTAGCCTAGAGGGTTTTTAAAGTAAACTCTAAGGTTACAGGGAGATGATGGAGTAATTCCAGTAGAGCATCAGTGATGGAACTGTTTTAAATGGTGATGAGTCATGTACTGCACTTTTCCCACTGACTCACCTATGGGGGCGTATATGTTTGTCCTGCAGTTTCTTGAGCTGGAGAGTGTTGTTATTGTGCATGTCACTCAACGAGTGGCTAATGAGAGGGAGAATTGGGTAGGAGACTTTAAAAAAAGAACAAGAATCAGATGTGTTCTTTGTGCTCTCATGATTCCTAATATAACAATGCTCTATACATTTGTTGAAAATGTTCTGCTGGGTAAATAATGAATTCATTAGAAGACTAATTTTTTTTTTTTTTTTTAGACAGAGTCTCACTCTGTCACCCAGGCTGGAGTGCAGTGGCATAATCTCCACTCATTGCAACCTCCATCTCCTGGGTTCAAGCGATTCTTCTGCCTCAGCCTCCGGAGTAGCTACAGGTGAATGCCACCACGCTCAGCTAATTTTTGTATTTTTAGTAGAGATGGGGTTTCACCATATTGGCCAGGCTGGTCTCAAACTCCTGACCTTGTGATCTGCCCGCCCTGGCCTCCCAAAGTGCTGGGATTACAGGCATGAGCCACTGCACCCAGCCAGAAGACTACTTTTTAGGTATAATATTGACATGTATTAAATCACTTTTATGGGTTTGAATTCAGTTGTCTCCCTTAATTTTGCTCCCTCCCCTTGAGGTATAAATTGAACTTTTGAGGTAGATCTTTGTGCTGTAATCAAATGAAAAACATAAAAGTTAAGTCAACCTTATGGGGAAATAACATTTCTAGGATTTTGTTTAGAACATAAACTCCTAGAGGGCAAGGAATATCATATGTGTGCAGCATTCTGGATTGCATGTAAAGCATAGTGAATGATCCTGAAATGAGGTCAAATTTCTAAAAATTTATTTGTGTTGGGAAAGTCATCTAGTCAACCATCTGTATCCAGACAGCTTGAAACTGTAGCCATTATAGATGGATGGCATTACACAGGACACTTTCTAATATTCCTTTATGAGGATTCTTATCATGTGTTGGCTGCCATTTTTGGTTTTCTACTCCAAACTAGACTGAGATTCCAGTGGTTGGCTTTATAGTGTTACTGTGGCAAATAAATTAAGCAGTGACTTCCACTTCCAGTTGTGGCCCATTCTGTTAACTTCAATTGAGCAAAAGTGTGCAAATCAGTGAAACAAGGACTGTTCTTTCAGTTAGCACAAACCATAATTATCTGGGGACTATTGCTACTTTATCAAAGTAAAATAATGTTTAAAAAATCACCTTGAAAAGTGATTATGTAGCACTGTGTGCTATTTATTTACATGTTTATTAAAATACTGTAGAGTGATGTGGATTATATCACCATTATTTTACTTTGATAAAGTTGGAAGCAAATGCCAGGGGGATAAAACTTGATATTAAATAGTCTGTGATCCAGGAGTTTGGGTTGTGCTGTACATCCAATCACACCCACCTGGGTTCATATTGATACACAAATGTATTTCCCTACAAAGCAGAAAGTAAATAAAGTAGATGGTTCCTTGTCTCCTGACACTAATGTAAAATGTGACTCTTCTAGAGGTCTGAAGATTGTGTCACTTGTGTGTGTGTATATATATGTATCCTAAACTTTCTAGGGAAATTTTTCAATATAAAAACTTATAGACTAGCCCCTGCAATGGTGAAAGACATGTTTTAGAACTAACTGATAAATGAAATCCTTGTATTCATGCTTTATAAGTAATAAATCTAGTAAACATCATAACTATTCAAGCACACTTGATGGGATTTTTAGTGTAATTTTTAATAACACGTACATATATTTAACCTCTCTTTTCAGTTTTAGTTTTATTTGTTCATTAATTTTTATTATTTATTTATTTATTTAAAATGTCAACAGCTTCAGGGGTACAAGTGGTTTTTGGTTTTATGGATGAATTGTGTAGTGGTGAAAAGTCTGAGATTTTAGTGCACTTGTCACTTGAGTAGTGTACATTCTACCCAATATCTAGTTTTTTGTCCTTTCCCTTTCTCCTGCTTCTGCTTCTGAGTCTCCAGTGTCCATTATACCACTCTGTATGCCTTTACAAACCCATAGCTTAGCTTTCTTTTAAGTGAGAATATATGTTACTTGGTTTTCCATTCCTGAGTTACTGCACTTAGAATAATGAACTCCAGCTCCATGGAAGTTGCTGCAAAAGACATCATTTTATTCTTTGTTATGGCTAAGTAGTATTTCATGGTGTATATGTCCCATTTTCTTTATCCACTCATTGATTGATGGGCCCTCAGGTTGGTTCCAAATCTTTATAATTGTAAATTGTACTGCAATAAACATACATGTGAAGGTGTCTTTTTGATATAGTGGTTTCTTTTCCTTTGGGTAGATACCCAGTAGTGGGGTTGTTGGATTGCATACATTCAGCCTCTTTTTTCAAAAATTATTATACTTCAAGTTCTGGGGTACATGTGCAGAACGTGCAGTTTTGTTACATAGGTATACACGTGCCATGATGGCTTGTCGCACCCATCAACCTGTCACCTACATTAGGTATTTCTCCTAATGTTATCCCTCCCCTAGACCCCCCACCCCACAAAAGGCCCCAGTGTGTGATGTTCCCATCCCCATATCCATGTGTTCTCATTGTTCAACTCCCACTTATGAGAGAGAACATGCGGTGTTTGGGTTTCTGTTCTTGTGACCGTTTGCTGAGAATGATGGTTTCCAGCTTCATCCATGTCCCTGCAAAGGACATGAACTCATCCATTTTTATGGCTGCATAGTATTCCATGGTGTATATATGCCACATTTTCTTTATCCAGTCTATTATTGATGGACAATTGGGTTGGTTCCAAGTCTTTCCTATTGTAAATAGTGCCACAATAAACATATGTGTGCATGTGTCTTTATAGTAGAATGATTTATAATCATTAAGTAGCTCTTATTATTTTGAGATACGTTCCATCAATACCCACTTTATTGAGAGATTTTAGCATGAAGGGGTGTTGAATTTTGTCGAACGCCTTTTCTGCATCTATTGAGATAATCATGTGGTTTTTGTGATTGGTTCTGTTTATGTGATGGATTACGTTTATTGATTTGCATATGTTGAACCAGCCTTGCATCCCATGGATGAAGCCGATTTGATCACGGTGGATAAGCTTTGGGATGTGCTGCTGGATTAGGTTTGCCAGTATTTTATTGAGGATTTTCACATCAATGTTCATCAGGAATATTGGCCTGAAAGTTTCTTTTTATGTTGTGTCTCTGCCAGGTTTTGGTATCAGGATGATGCTGGGCTCATAAAATGAGTTAGGGAGGATTCCCTATTTTTCTGTTGTTTGGAATAGTTTCAGAAGGAATGGTACCTGTTCCTATTTGTACCTCTGGTAGAATTCGACTGTGGATCTGTCTGATTCTGGGCTTTTTTCGGTTGGTAGGCTATTAATTACTGCTTCAATTTCCAAACTTGTTATTGGTTTATTCAGGGATTCGACTTCTCCAAGTTTAGACTTGGGAGGGTGTATGTGTCCAGGAATTTATTCATTTCTCCTAGATTTTCTAGTTTATTTGCATAGAGGTGTTTATAGTATTCTCTGATGGTAGTTTATATTTCTGTGGGAATAGTGATGATATCCCCTATATCATTTTTTATTGTGCCTATTTGATTCTTCTCTCATTTCTTTTCTATTAGTCTGGCTAGTGGTCTATTTATTTTGTTGATCTTTTCAAAAAACAGTTCCTGGATTCATTGATTTTTTGAAGCATTTTTCATGTCTCTATCTCCTTCAGTTCTGCTCTGATCTTAGTTATTACTTGTCTTCTGCTAGATTTTGAATTTGTTTGCTGTCGCTTCTCTAGTTCTTTAAATTTTGATGTTAGGGTGTCAATTTTTGATCTTTCCTGCTTTCTCTTGTGGGCATTTAGTGCTATAAATTTCTCTCTACACACTGCTTTAGCTGTTTCCTAGAGATTCTGGTATGTTGTGTCTTCATTCTCATTGGTTTCAAAGAACATCTTTATTTCTGCCTTCATTTCGTTATTTACCCAGTAGTCATTTAGGAGCAGGTTGTTTAGTTTCCATGTAGTTGTGCGATTTTGAGTGAGTTTCTTAATCCTGAGTTCTAGTTTGATTGCACTGTGGTCTGAGAGACTGTTATGATTTCCATTCTTTTGCATCTGCTGAGGAGTGTTTTACTTCCAATTATGTGGTCAATTTTAGAATAAGTGCGATGTGGTGCTGAGAAGAATATACATTCTGTTGATTTGGGGTGGAGAGTTCTTGAGATGTCTATTAGGTCTGCTTGGTCCAGAGTTGAATTCAAGTCCTGAATATCTTTGTTAATTTTCTGTCTCATTGATCTGTCTAATATTGACAGTGGGATATTAAAGTCTCCCACTATTATTGTGTGGGGGTCAATGTGTCTTTGTAGGTCTCTAAGTCAAGCTTGCTTTATGAATCTGAGTGCTCCTGTATTGGGTGCCTGTATATTTAGGATAGTTAGCTCTTCTTGCTGCATTGATCCCTTTACCATTATGTATTGCCCTTCTTTGTCTCTTTTGATCCTTGTTGGTTATAAAGTCTGTTTTATCAGAGATTAACATTGCAACTCCTGTTTTTTTTTTTCTTTCCATTTGCTTGGTAAATATTCCTCCATCCGTTTATTTTGAGCCTATGTGTGTCTTTGCGTGTGAGCTGGGTCTCCTGAATACAGCACACTGATGGGTCTTGACTCTTTATCCAATTTGCCAGTTTGTGTCTTTTAATTGGGGCATTTAGTCCTTTTACATTTAAGGTTAATATTG